CGGGCTCCGGCCGGGCCTCGGAGGTCCGGCCCCCCCCTCCTCGCGGGGGCTCCCCGGCCCTCCCTTCCCGCTTCTTTATTTTTAGAGGTTTAATGTTTTTTCCTGGCAGGCTGACAGCACGGTGTTTCCGTGATTTCTCCCTCCCCGCCCTTCTGCTTTGGTGGCCCCGTTTGTAGGTCCCTGGCCAGCTGTTCCCACTGCTGTGCCCGGCTGGCTCGGGAGAGAGGCCACGTTTTGGAGTCACTTCCTTCCCCCTTCCTCCCCACCTGCCCCCGCACTTTCAAGAGCAGCTCCTTTCCTCCCTCCTTCCCTTTGGGTTGCCCTGGAGGCAGAGGGAAGAGGCCTCTCCAGCTCTGCCCATCAAGGATGCACCGTGCCCAAGCCTCGCAGCAGCACGGCAAAGCAGAGACTGGGGACCAGGGAGGATGCAGATGGGGAACCAGGTCTGTGTGGAGAGACAGCCTAACCTTGCCCCAGCGACTCGGGATCAGATACCTCCTGCCTTTCCTTTCTACACCTTCCCTGGGTGACCACAGAGCCCTGACATTTTTCAGGAGCCCCAGTGAGTCAGCAGCACTCACAGGCCTGCTAAAATCCCTGAGGCATCCCCCAGCACAGAGGCTGCCAGCCCACACGCTGGCTCCAGGCTGCCAGGGAAGGGGGACCTGCGGGGCTGCTGGAAGGCTGGATCCTGTCTCTTTGCAGGACGATGGGCATCGGTGGTGTCAATGTCCCACTGGAAGAGAAATCAAGGGATGCACAGGTCGTCTCTTACACAGGGATCTACGACACAGAAGGGGTGCCCCATACCAAAAGCGGGGAGAGACAGCCCATCCAGGTCAACATGCAGGTAGGTGGTTCTGCCTGGCAGGGAAAGACAGGCAGGGCAGCAGGGAGGTGACTCCCAGGGAGAAGTGTGGAGGTGAAATATTCCAGGGCAAAGTCTGATCACAGCTGCTGCCCTCCTCTTTGCTTGGTGTCAGTAAGACTGCTGATCAGAACACAGCTGGAAAACACAAGCCCTGCTTCCGAAAAGGAAGGCAAGAGAGCAGCAAGGGCCAGGAAGGAATAGGGGGATTTCTAGAGACCTGCAAAGCTTTTGGGAATGCAGCAACAGAAAGAAATGTGAGCTGAATCTCTCACGTCTTCTGCAGGACACATCCTACAGGCAACTCTCACCAAGGTCCAGGGCTAGCAATCCAATCCCAAGCCCTTGGCATGCAGGTAACCCCCTACTGGCTGCCAGCACTGCCAGGTTTTTTTGGAGCAGAGCTTGCCCCAAGTACAAGTGGTGACTACTTTCTCCTTCCACCTGTCATCTGCAGGATGCCTGAGGACCTGCCAGAGGCTGGAAGCATATGTGAGAACACCCCCACACCCCACGCCAAAGTCTGTCTTCTCCCTTTCCCCATATGCTTCCATTGTCACGTTATCTCTGCATCCACAAACTTAAGTTCTTATGCAAGTGACTCCTCAACTGCGCCTAAAAGAGAAGCTCCAAGGGCCAGAATTGTTATATGCCATGGCCCCACAGAGAAAGGACAAAAGCTCCAGCCCATAAGGCAGCGGAGCTGACAAAACACAGGAAGAGCAGCAGGCAGATTTCCACAGCACTCTGGGTGGTGCAGTTGGGGTGCACAGAGGCAGATTTGGTTTTTTCTGGCTTTGGTTTGGTTGTTCGAGGGCTGTTTTCCCTCTCTCCTGATTACAGTTGTGCAGGATTCCTGCTGTTTATTCTATGCCTCCTGCATACCAAAAAGGGGAAACGGGACAGTAAGCCATTGTCATCTGAAGCCCTCTTAAGAGCCTGTTTAGGACCTTGCCAAGCCCACCAGATTTCAGCTTTTTCTTACATTTGCTTACTGCATGCTAGAATTCATCTTGATCTTTATCTTCACTATTTTTTTTTCTGGAATTCATTCAGCATGGCAATCCCCTTCTGAATAAGAACTGTAACATCTCCAATTACAGCATGCCTAACTTAATTTTGGAGACCCACATCACATTAACAGTTACCACTTCATAATCTTAAATTAATAAAACTACCTTGAAGTATTTGTCCATGTTAATCACTTTTCTATACAATCACCTCCTTTTAACACCCAGGAAAACCAAACACCCAGTAGGACTCCTTAACCAGCAGAACAGGGCTGCTGGCTGCTGCTGTCTAGTACAGCAGTTATATTTCACCATGTCCTTACACCAGGAGGTGAAAGGGCAGCACTCCCCCAAAAAACAGCTGCTTGGACAAAGGCATCCCTATTTTGAGAACCACCTTTATCCTTAAGCATAGCACTGATGTGAACCCTGAAAATTTGAAAGTTTAACTTTTCTTATGGAGAAAACCAAGTCAAATCACAAATGCAGTAATTCAAAAAAATGCAAGGGGACTCTGATTTTCAGATACAAGCTCTGAGATGGTTTGTTGCAGCATCAGAATAATTAGCCACAATATTTGTCCAAACAGTTGCTTTCACAAATCAAATCCTGGGATATTAACCATGAAGCTAATAGGATTTTCAAGCATTAAGCAGGTCCTCAACCCCTTTTAGAATTTGATCTTGATAGATAGGTTCTTCAGTACTGACTTACATGTCCACAATTGATACTTTGAAGTATTAAATATAGACAACTCAGCAGGGATTTATATGTTTAACTCATCATTTAGCTGCTTAGCTAGACAGAGCCATAACAGATTTAGGGAACCAGCCTTGGATACCCCAGTCTGAAAACTGTTTCTGATACCTAGTTCCTGAATCTTCAAAACTGGGCTTATTACATACAGCTTTAAATTTTCCTATTTCCCTCAACTATGAGGAACGTCTGCCTCCGCTTCCTTTTCTAGAACAGGCAGGATCCTGATGCATCCTAGAGAGATAAGGACACTATTTAAGGCATAAAATCTGAACTTATGTTACAAATAGATTGTGAGGTCAGCCCTGCAGTTTAAAACTGGTCTGCTACTGCCATTCTAATGCCTTAAAGACAGAAGGTCCATGAAGGTCCATAAGAATTTATTTCCTATCTGCTTTAAAACTTTGAACAAATAGTTCTCTGTGCTCTTACTTTAACAGGCTAGTAGATATGTGACCTGTTACAGCCATAGTTTATATGTGTAAAACAGCAATCCTGTTTCTGATTTCCAGAATCTGAGGATGCGTTTCTGTTACCTGAATGCTCAGTTATGCACACTATCCAGAAACTGCTAAACTGTCCAGCAAATGGTGTAAACTAAGTCAGAAACCTCTCTTTGAGTCTAATTTTATTTTTGGTCAGACAAGACTAAGATTGAAAAAAAGAAGACGGACCTCTATTCCCAGTAATCAATAGCCATCAAATCATCCTAGCATGCAAATTCAGAGGGAATGATTAAATAACTATTCATGCCTATAACAATGTATGACAGACAATAGCAGACAGGAAAATAGGCTTCTAAGCCTACAAAGTGTAGGGCCGTCCCGCCTTCCTGGGCTAGCCCATACACAGGCACAGCAGAGGAGCCACGATTCAGATGCAGGAGCCACAGGAGTTTCAGGGGAGCTCTGAGGATGCAGAATCCTCATTATGCCACAGAGCTGCTGCATCTGCTAAGTTCTGGGCTGGTGGCAAGGCACATGGTAGTAGGAAAGCTCTGCAATTAATTCTTTCCTTCTCCTGGAAATCCACAGCAGTCAAACTACTCAGGGCAGCTCAGCAAACTGGGTCATTCGAGGAAGACAGAATTTGTTTTCTTCCTGTATCTTGTTGATATTCAGATCCTCCATATATTAATGAAAGGAAATGTTGCTCTTGTATCATATCAGCTTGTAGAAATGCTATTAGAAATGCCTTTTCTTCCTCAGTTTCAAGACTGAGAGTGGCCGATGCTCCTCTCTGACAATTTCTCTGTGTGGATGGTGCAGGGTAATACACAATGCGCTTAACTTATACTACCTTGCATTATGAGTGTATCAGGATTATCAGAGATGATTAACAAAAAAATTCCTTAATTAAAGTTTTAGTTGCTAGAAGAGATAAAATAGCCTGTACATCTGATTCTCTTTATCAAAGGAAGTAGCAGAAGTATTTCAGCTACTCCTTTAGGGTAACACTTGCAACTGGAGCCAAATAAAAACTTTCCACTAACAGCATATAGCAATTACTGCTGTTGTCAAAGCTAAATTTAAGTTACCACAGTGGGTTGGGGAAGGTTTAAACCAATGCCCATTATGCAGTAGCAGCTTATAAACCACATCTTGAATTAAAAAAAAAACCAAAAACCCAAACATGTCTTCCTGAGATAACTGGATACAGAAGGCTCTGCTTGCCACTCAGGAAGAGTCACTGTGTAAAAGGGCTTTCATATGGACTTTGCAAATGTGATTATAATAGGCAGATGATCAAAGGTCAGCATCCAGGCACATGATGGGAATGGAAAATAGTCAAATGAAGAAGCTGTCATTAAAGTGAGTGATGGAAATATGTAAAAGGAAAAAATGTTGATGAACAGAGTGTCATTCAGTAGCACTGAATCCACTATGTAGTATCTTCTAACAACACAGCACACTCAACGAACCATACCACTGGGACCAAAAGCAATCTGTATGGGCTTCACACCTGCACTCTGGACTCTCTGCAAGGTCTCCAGGCACAGGAACTCAAATTTTACATCACCATCATAACTGAAGTCATGATCTAGCCTTGCTGAGCCTCATTCATATGTTTTTCCTGATATTGCAAGGGTATCTAGCAATGGCTTGGAAAAAAAGTGAGACATTTTATTTTGCAGAACTTAGTAGAGCCATAGTCTTATCCACTGCAAAGTTGCAAGCACAGCCAGACAACTTGCAGTCGATGTCTCACTACCCCTTCAGCGTATTAGACACTTATTTGCTAACAAGCTCTGATTATCTCCTTCCTAGATTACTCATATCTAAATTTGAAAAGCTGCACCACCACAGTACAATTAGCAATTACAGAAGTGCACAAAGGAGAACTTCCTTTACTTAAGCTTCATGTAAAACGCAGAACAGAATCCCAGGGAGGGAGGAAGGGGACTAACAGCAGCATGTCTGAGTCAAGACACTGCAAACACAAGGCTACAAAACACAGTGACATTAAATATTTCAGACTGACCTAAAGAGGGAATCTTCCCAGTCGTAACTGCAGCCCATAGGTGTGGTATAAAGGTGACACGATGGCCTGTATCACTGCTACATGATATGTATACATAAGCCACTTTTAAGATCATCGTGCCAATTACTGCTGTGGCATCTTAATCAGGATTATTGCTTTGATTCTTGCTGTTAGTAACATTTATCCATTTTGAAACTTAAACATTTTCATTCCCTTGACTTTCCCAGATATAAGTGCAACAGGACAGTACATGGATCCGATCCTTCGTATTTTATGCATGCCTAAGCATAGAAGACTTTGTGACTGCTAGAGCAGGCTCTACAGATCTTTGATTTATAGACTTGAGGAGTCATAATCCTTATATCAGCTGGTTTATGTTCCGCAGTTTCCCAAGGGTGTTGTTTCTCGTTAATAGAAAGAAACCGACAAAATAATCAGCTCGCTAACACTGATATTCCCTCTTCCTCGCAGTTTAACGATATTGGAGTTTTTGAAACAGTCTGGCAAGTCAAATTCTACAACTACCACAAACGGGATCATTGCCAGTGGGGAAACAGTTTTGGTAGCATTGAGTACGAGTGCAAACCAAACGAAACGCGCAGTCTTATGTGGATCAATAAAGAGACCTTCCACTGAAGAGATGTGAAACCAATACTGCTGGACAATTTCCCTAAAGAAAAAAAAAATCTACCTTTTTAAACCAGCAAGAAGCCTTAAGAAAGGCATACTGTAACGTTGCTTTGTTCTATATGGTTCCAACAACTACGTTGTATATACAGGTGGTGCCACTGAAATCTTTGCCTATTACTGTATTTTAGGTTTACCATGGCATCTGCAATATTCTTTATCTGACATCCTGAGAATACTGAAAAGTTCATGGTAAAGAATATTTGATAGCTGGGTAGAAAGTCATACTGTCATAAATATTTGGATTATACCCACTAAATGGTTCCACTAGACGTAACAACTTTGGTGAAGTGTTTTGCTTTATTGCTTAGAATTTGGATGCAACATCACATCAGTGATTTCTGTATTTATATTTGTGTTTGTTCCTAAATCAGTGTGTTCCTTCAAGCATTTTGTCGTACATATCATCCCCAGTGGACAGCAAAAAGTGCAAATTATGGATATCTGTAGGTTTAGCTAAATGGCAGCTACTGAACTGTTGATATTGTGTTTTCATACCAGGGGATTTGGAAACTCATTCTCCCTTTTGTTAAGTGCTGTAAGACATTCTGTGAAGTTTGCTAATTTACCAAATCTCTCAAAATAGGATTCTTTGTTGTTAACTTTCCCATGAAACTCTAGTCTCTGAAATAGCTTTTAGGAAACAGTATAAAGCGTGATAACCTGAATGAAAGAAAAGCAATAAATCAGTTGTGGTTATCGATGACATCTAACAACATGGGTAATATCTATCTCAAGATCATATAGTACTCTTGAAAGATATAGCAGCCATACGTAATTTAGGTCTTAGAGTAAGAGTTCTGATAGCAATCTCCATTTTTGTTTTAATGACACATTGCTCAAATCAGTGAAATCCTACAGATCAACTTTTTCAAGCCTGGCCACTGTATTATACCAAAATGGACAGGATTTCTGACCAAACACACAGCAGTGTGAAGAGTGCAGATCTCAGTGCATGTTTATACATGCACTGCACTCTTTCAAATAAAGAAAAGCTTGTGAGCATTTGCATAGTTATGACTAAAGGTGCTACATAAACACTAGATCAGTGTTTAACACATACAGACAACAAAAAACAAACTTATCTCTTCTTTCAGTAAGTAAAGCAGGGAAACAACTACACTGTCCCATCCCCAACTTGGGCTGAAGTAAGCTGTCAGTTCTTGCATATCTGTTATTCCCTTTGTGAATAATTTGTAAATTGTGTATGTAAATGGTAACCATGACTTTTGATCTTTGTAATAAAGAACTTAAACAATTCCTTCTCTAGTATGACCATCTAAATGAGTTGAAAATGCTGTATCAAAAAAGGCAGTGGTTTTAGGAAGCCAGACAGAAGAGGGCACATAGTGCTTTCTGAGAATCCGAAGTACCTCGTGTTCTTTACCCAAAGCTACTGCTTCTAGGACATACAGAGCCAATGTGCTAGAAGGCAGTCAGTTAACATGGTAACACTCAATAGAGCTTATCAATAAAATTCAACTGCATTTTGTTGCACTAACATAGTGTGAAAGTAGAGATTAGGGATGGAAGTGAAATACCAAAGAAATATTTTCTTCCATAAAATTATTAATCAAAAAACTTGACTGCAAATTTCTACAGACAATAGAGCCTGACAGTAGCACTGATGTAATACATCACTGGAACAGTGAGCTAGCCAGCTGCATCTCTCCTCAGAGGCAACATTACACAGGCAAATTTCACTGCAATGAAATTCTAGGAATAATCTTCTGCATTAACTTCTCGCCTTGACTTTTCCTAGGCTACAAAAAGAATTCTTCAAAAATGGAAAAAACTGAACTGAGCAAATTCAAATGAAATCTGTACTTCATACAGAAGTGTTACTGCCAACACTTTAGCAGACATTTCCACATAACAGGGTTCAGTGATTCCAAACTTCCAGCTGTCAATCAATTCTCTCTGCATTAGTAGAAAGTGATTTTATTCTGCAAGATTTGGCATACCTTGGTTTATTTTGTTTGTACAAATAAACTGAAAGCACATCAGCAAGAAATCTGCATGATACATATATTAACAGAGAAACTTCTGCCCTAACAACATTAAAATGTGTAAGACACGCCTTCACTTTGATTCATTGTGTAATGTTTTTTAAATGCCAGAGAGCCTAGGACATTGTGGGCCAAGGATTTCATAGAAGCTGAACTCAATCTAGCCTATCCTGGCATAGGAGGGCTGTTATCTCAGCTAGCTGGAAGCACACCATTCCCGAGGTAAATACCCACGCCCATATTAATGCTAAATAAGGCAGCTCTTTTCTTACGTCCTAACTAGTCCTGTAGCAATTCAGTTCAGAGGGTGCTCAAGAAAGAGCTTGCAGATGGATTTAGTTGCTTTTAAAAGGAAGGAGAGAACAGCCAGACCCTGCAGGTTCTATATCCTGAGTCTGAGCATTGCTGCCCAGGACTGCAGCACCCCTGTTACAGACAGTGGCAGTGATAAAAAGACTGACTGGTTAACAGCTTATCTTGGGGAAGGTGTAAATTTATCAGCTGTTATATCCTTCTGCCCTAGATGAGATTTAAGCATACAGAAAGGTGGCTTGATGGCCTTGCATGCATTCCTGCATGCATCCCTGCATGCATGTTCATGCAGTGTTTGTTCAGTATCCATACCACCAGCGCTGATGCTCTGAACATGTAAAGCAAAATAGTCATCAACTTTCCCTTGCTCAACAAATGCTTTGCTAACACAGCAAACATTTGCCCCTGGTAAGGGAAACTCAAGACTTCAGCAGCTCTCCAAAAGTAATGTTTTGAATTTCTTTCACTCAGGACAACTCTGGTAAATATTCATAAAGCTTGAGTCGCTAAAAGACTGTTGCTGTGACAGTTTGATGCATTACTCAATCAGCAGCATTTAATCTCCAGACAAGTTTGTTCTTTACACAGCTTTTTCCAGTTAGTATTTTCATTTTTGTACAGAACTCCAAAATTCAGAACAGGACACAATACCCTAAGCTTAAATATATATTTATTTTGATCTGTGACAACATCAGAAAATGCTGACAATGTGTTAATCCATCTGAAACCACAAAGCACTCATATCTGAAGGTTTTATACTCTTCTCACATATAAGAGATTTTTCTCATGAAGTATCTAGCTTTCGTTTTCAGAAAGATTCAAACAAATATACTGAATCTTTCAGAGTCACTTTTTCATGTATATTTAGGCAGCAGTTAGCACTTTCAGATGGCTGAGTGAAAAGATCCAAAATTAAGTTATTAGTCATGATTATTACAGTTGTGATCCTGCACAGGTCTTGCATTAGATCACAAGAGTTTGCACAAAGCTGTGTTTAGCGCAGCTACTACAGGCTTTGGTATCTCCTACCCTCTGACCGTGTCTGAGAAAGAAATAACACTGCTGAAGTCTCAATACACTACTGACACAAGTTTGGGAGGTTTCAGTGGCTCCAGCTGAGGCTCTATTAATTGTTTTGCAGCTACAGAGTGATCTTTAGTGATTCCAGACTAGCAGAGTATCAGAAAACCTCATTTGTTACATTCTTCCTATCAAAGATGTAAACACAACGTGTGTACTCTGTTATAAGCGCCTGCCTCAGCTGCTATGTAGAATTTCGACGCACGTGCTACGTTGAACAGTTCTATTCTCCTGGAGTCTCCTTAAAGCTTTGATTAAATAGGGATGTGGCACGTAGTAAATGCTAACCTCTTTTTGCGATCCGAAACAAGTGCTGTGGCTTTCAGAAATCACTGGGCATTGCCTTAATAGCTGCATCAACCCCGAAGCACAAAGCAGGAGTATACTGAGTCTTACAACACTCATGTTTTCCGTTAGCTCTGCAAAGCTCACAAGGAATGACCGGAAAGTTTCCTTACTGCAGCTAATCCAGATCTTTGGCTAGGAGAGACACACACTCCTGCCCACAGGCCTTCCCTGCTGCATGCTTGGCAGCTTTCACCAGCATTCCTTGGACAGCTTCCTTTTCCCCTCTCCCTGAGACCAGGAGTTAAGGCTTCAAATCCCTGGGAGTGCTGGCTTTCAGCCTGAGGAAGACAAGGATGCATCAACCCAGTAAGAGCCAAAGCAGTCCCCTGTGCATCGTCTTCTCTGCCCCTAGCTCCAAGTTGTTGATCTCTCTTATTAGTTGACACAGCTTTGTTCTGTGCGCTCAGAAACGATAATCCCTTGACTGGCTTTCTCCATTACATATAACCATCTCTGCCTCTTTCTGCAGAAGACATTCATGGTGATTCCAACAGTAAATAAGAAAATGACCAGCTACCAAAAGAATAAAGAAGTGAAGTTGGACTACAGAAAGCACTGCTGATGGTCAGTGGTGGGCATCCTGCAGTGTCTGCCATTACAGTGCTGGAGAACCCAAGCACCTACATAGATTGTTTCCATGGTGCTCTAACACTGGCTGAATTTCTCTGTATAAGATACATACAAGTGAAGAATCATAAGCTTTTGTGAGTTCTACCACTACTCATTGGAGTTCATAATCTTTTGACCTGCAGTGAGTTGTGCCACTCATGCATGAGTACATCGATACGAACAGATCTCCATCAGAGACAAGGCTGAAAAGCAGTGACAGTTTTTCCATCAACGTTAATGCCAAAAATCTTATATTAAAAAATAATTTGTAACAGCACATCTGCATTGGCCAGGTGTCAGGCTTTGATTATCTGGTTTTCCTCATTTGGACAAACTTGAGTCTCAATGCTGCCATACAAAAGTGCTTCCTATGATGACCCCAACATCTTTGTTTTCCCTTCACCAGAGAACAGACACTCCTACTCCCTTTACCCCAAATAGCAAGGAACAGCCTGGTATCCCACCCAGTAACCTCTGCAGTCTCTGAACAATGCTGAGAGAAGCAATAATAACTATCAGATGATGATGATGAAGGCAGCACAGGCAAGAACCATCTAACTGTGCTGGAGGTAAGATGGACCTTCTGCCCACTCTCAGCATGGTAACTGCAAGGTTAGGTGCCCTCCTGCTGTTACAGGAGTGACTACAATCGTGTCTACACTAACATCTACATTAAGCTGCAGCATGTGGGCTACACGGACCAAATGTTCTCAGAAGCTTGAACTGAATCATTAGGAGTTAAATGTGAACCCCAGAGGCCCTTGTCTGCAAAGAAGTGGCAGTAGCATGCAACAGTATCACACCAGATACTATTTTCTGACTGTGATGGCACTCTTCCACTCAGCCTAAGTTGCTATGCCAACAGATCCACCTAAGGTACTTCCACATTCCAGACTTAC